GGTACAAAAAAAAGGTAAATCAAAATGATTTAAAAAAAAAAAAAAAAAAAAGATAATAAGTATTTGCATTAAACTGATACAATGACCACAATCTTTTTTCGGCAAAAAGAAACTAGAAATTGCAAATTGCAAGTGAAGTGCTGCAAAGTTCAACTGCATATAAATGTTCTTCGAACAAAATTATTTATGCGAGTCAAGTGAAAATAATGAGTAACAAAAATATAACAAATAATATGAAACACGACCCATTGTCTATATTAGAACACTTCTCATTGGGTAACAAAGTTGTAATTTTTTCATTTTTGTCAAAAAGTGTCTATAGTGGTGAATTATGGTTTAGGTTTTTTTTAATAAAGTTTCAAAAATTTCTATGTATGTGGAAAATGTAGTTGATTACCAAAGGTTACAATTTTTATTTTGAAGACTGCATGGTCTAGGAAGTGTACATTTTTTTATGGGGCAGGTTTCCAAGGGTGAGTTTTCTAGGAGCGAGTTGACTGCCAAAGAGTGTTGCCAAAGTGCGAGCCAGCGTGTTATTTGATCACAAGTGCGAGACATTGCAAGTGGGAGCCAGCGAGCCATGACGTCACGACAATAGATACATCATACGAGACGTTACTCGAGTTGTGCGAGGTATCGGCTGAGATTTGTGGAGTACAATTCAAAAAACAACTATAGGTCTAATAATGAATTATTGTGATGTTAAATAGACAATGTTAGTTATCAAGAAGCGACATTGTTTTTCATTGGGACATTCGTCCCTTCAAGGCTAGGGCTATACCAACCTAGCTAGTCTAGGCCTCGAGTAGGATAAGGCTAGCAAGACATGCGGACGTTGGTATGTGTTGGTTAGTCTACAAACGTCGCCTAAAGTAATTGATTTTACCCGGCAGAACGAAAGAAGGAAACTCCACTTTTCAGTCATCTTAGGCCCTTGTTTTTTGACAAACAATGACCTTTCAGAGGTCAAATTGCTGTCAAGAATATGAATTGGCTGCTTCTCAGCAATAAATTGTTGAACATGCATGATGTAGAGAAACGTGCGCACACGATTTTGAGATGGGTCGCCATCACTACCCATCTACAAGCAGGAAAGAGGTATGTTTATTATTATTATGTAGAATCTCGTTTACCATTAACATATTATATGAGATATTATAACTAACAAACAAGAGCCTTATCTATCTATAAGTAACTTAGGAAGCCTTCGGTAACCTTTATTTAGCTAAATCACAACAGGCCGGGATACATTCCTATGGTGATGAGGATGACTTCTATGGCCTAACTAGAGGCTATTTTAGGAATGTGCTCTCTTCCTTTCTCTACATTTTGGTAGATTAACAAACTTACTTGGTTCTAGACAAGTAACTCCTTGAAAAGCTTTTGTACAGCTGCAGTAGAATTGATTTACACTATTAATACAAGTACCTCCATTCTGACATGGGTTGCTCGTACACTCATCAATATCTAAAAGAAAAAAATCATCAAAAATACATTCACTAAACATTTACAGCATTGAAAACATTAAAAGACACAACAGAGAATTATATATAATATACAACTGCAATTTACTGACCTTCTTCACAGAATGTTCCCATAAACCAAGGCATGCACTGGCATGTGATGGAGTTGTCAGAGCCTAGTGTACACGTCCCTCCATTGTAACATGAAGAAGATGTGCAATCTACATTGGTAACAGCTGAAGACAGAAAAAAATATTATTAAATTCTGTATCAACTAACTGCAAACAGTTAATACTGTGTTTTTATATCAGGTCTTGAATTAAGTACATTACTAGAGAATTGATTGATTGATTGATTGATGGATCAATTAACTGACTGATTGATGGATCAACTGATTGTTGGAATGTCACTTTAAAACTTGTTTTCAGAATGAAGCATTTTTATGCCAAATATTGGAACACCTACGTGTCTCACAGCGATCTCCAATGAAGCCGGATATGCAAGTACACACGACACCACCCTGCTGATCCTGAGTACACGTACCAAGATTTTGACAAGGGTTTGGGTTACAGGTACCTGGAGAAAAACAAATCAAGTACAAATTCAAATAATGCTTTCATAATTTTATTATTTTTTAATTTTTTTAATTTAAAACATCTTTATACAGGATAACATTTCAGAATAAACTGTTTTTCAAATGGTCCTGTATTTGACCAAATAAATAATTGATTTTAAGAGATAAAAAAGGAGACATGAAAAAACAAAAATAAAAAATCAACAATCAATTTTCGAAATACCTGTACAAGGAAAATTACCAATCAAAATAGTTAAATACAGAGCGAAGCCTAAGCATTGAAATATATCCATCTATCCAAAAAATGCTTTTTACATTGTCATATGCCATGTCAACAGGGCCTCTAAGGGGTTCTGCTTTAAAATTTTAATCATAAGTTGGAAAAATGGTTGATGTAGTAGCAGAATACACTATACATTTGATAGAAAACACAACTGCTTTCAATTTCACTATAGGCGAGTGCCCATATTCAATGCATTGGCCTCCACGGCCCCAAACCAGATATGTTTCGGTAGGTCTACTACCACCATCAATGAAAAATGTTCACATCTGCAGTGTACATAAACATATACATAGAAAATGTATATAAACATATACATAAGAATAACAGAAAAAGTAGTAAATTTAAATTAGTTACAGTATTTGATATTGACAGATACTTAATATGATTATATAACTATATTTAAATTTTTTTCTTCTGAATTATTTATTATACTACTTGTTCTATGTTTTGAATGTTTGAATGGCACGCCTTGTGACAGTAGTCATGTGACCACTTATGCCCCTCCATGGCCCACCTATACACAATAGTCGGTTGTTTCGGTTTGTTTTGTAAAATAAAATAAAAGAATATAAATGAAATGAAATAAAATAAAACATCAAAATGTTAAGATATTAAAATTTTGAAAATGAATGACATACATACAAAAATAAAATAAAATAAAATATCAATCAATAAGTTAAAATATTAAAATTTAAAAAAAAGAATGCATACTTGAGGTTTGACAATTTGTCCCAATGAAGTTTGAAGGACAGGTGCATGTATAACGTTCAATCACATCATAACAAGTACCTCCATTCTGGCACGGCAGACTATTACATGGCCTAGTGTCTGTATAAAAAAAGGTAAACAATTATTTTATTTAAATTTTAATACAAAATAAAGTGGTACAAAAAAAAGGTAAATCAAAATGATTAAAAAAAAAACAAAAAAAAAAAAGATAATAAGTATTTGCATTAAACTGATACAATGACCACAATCTTTTTTCGGCAAAAAGCAATTCTAAAAAAAACCCAGACAGAACCATCTTATTCACACAAACCCACCCCCACAAACCCACTCCACAAACCTTCAACAAAATATATTCTAAATTACATAATTTCACATAAATATCATTATGATAAAAATGATCTCATAACTGTAATAATCTTGTTGCTATGGTGGTTATTGTAATTGGAACTACTATAACAACAATAACAACAACAATAATCGTAATAATTATAATAATGATAATAATAAAGATGTGTATAAGAGACAAATAATAACTATTATAATATTAATAATATGATAATGATGATGGTTATTATTTTTGTTATGATTGTTATAATGAAGATAATGGTAATTGTAGTTATAATGGTACAAATGGTGATAATAATGATAATAATAATAATAATTATAATTATAAATAATAAAATAATAAAATAATAATGGGAATTTTGCTGTAATGATGGTAATAATAACAATAGGTTTTGTAGAATAATTATAATTATTATTGTTATTACTGTACTTAAATGGTGATTGTGATGACCTTGTTTTTTGCTTTTAATGACTATTTTTGCATTATTCTGTTATTTATTTATTCTCTCTTGTTTTATTTCTTGCTTGCTTTTTGCTTGATGTTGTGATGTGTTGTCTATCATATTTTATCTTACATTTTAATGATGTTTTTTTGGTTTTTTTTATACTGGATGGGAGTGGTTCTCAAACAATTGTTATAGTAATTAAGTTTACTTTAGAGACCAGGCCCTCCCATCCAGATTATTCTATTGTGCAATAAAAAAAAAAAAGAATAAGAATTATACAGCTAATCTAATTTTAATAATTATTTAAGCCATATTATTATGTTATTTTGATAGGTATATTATGCATATAATACAAAAAATATTTAAAATAATAAATTTAAAAAAAACATACTTGGTAACTCATCATCCTGCAGCGTAATTTGGAATCCTTTTTCTGTTTTGTCATCATCGGCTATAAACTGAATATAAACTTTATTGTCTGTCGATATAAAATTGCTTGGCAGATCTGGCCCCGAGTGTCGAATAATTCTACTTGACATGTTGGCTGGGTTGTCACCATTACCAGCTTCTAACCAATCATACTGGGGCTCTGTCGAGAAGTCATCAAACAACACACGGATTCTGCGACCAGCTGCGACTGAGATGATCCAAAGACAGTTGTCTCCGTTGTTGTAGTTCTCCGGGTAATTATTAGATTGGATGACAAGGGAGTCATCAGTCGGGATAGTATAGTTTTCTACACATGGTCTCCCTGATAAATTAATTTTAAAATATAGATAAGATTTTTGAGAATAAAATACAGAATGTGACACACTGCTTCATTGTTATTGCAGACTGTATTAGGTGTGGGTAAGTACATATGCAGATACAGTACAACACTAAGAACAATATCAAGGGTCCCATGCTGGAAGAAGTCATTTCGGGAACATCAGGGCCGGATTGCTATGAAACGGTCTTAACTAGACCTCGAATAAAGCCGGCGTTATCACGTTATACATTGTTTAGTTTAATTGAATAGTGTTCTTAGATGACTTGGTCAAGCTGAATACAGTGTGTAGTACTATTATTTATTAAGGCACAAATATCAAGGACAGTGAGCTTATAATATTATAGTAATAATAATAGTGTAGTTTTATACAGCATCGTATCCATCTAATATAAGATGCTAAGGGCACTTGATATATGGACTATGAACTTGATCTTATAACAACTATTCTAGTGGCAATCCATTCACAAAGAAAAACACACACACAAGATGCTTTGCATAGTCTCATTTATATGAGGCTTAGAGAGTGGAATTGTTTTTGATTATAATAATCCTGTTACTGTGACATGAATTGACCCTCAACCCTAGGATAAGATGGCAAGCATCCCTACCACAAAGCTATTCAACACCACTCAAGCCTTACATGAAGGTTCTTACAGGGTTTGTTGAAGATGGGCATAACGAAGTAGGCCTAATGATGAAATAGTAAATAAATATATACTAACGTATATCACAGTTGGTTCCTGTCCACTGGCCCTTGCAAAGACAGATGAAGCCGTTAGGGAACGATATACAATCACCATCATTCTTACAAGTATTTACCATACAAGTTGCCACCACTGACAAGAACAAATCACAAAATAAGTATCATCATTAAAACAATTGTTATAAAAAATTACAGTTACATAAATGATTTTTTATCATTTTTATTTTCAAATATAAAATATTATTATTTAAATCGTTGTTATAATTATTATGAATATAAAAATAATCATCGTTATAATTGTTTTTTTAAAATTTCCAGTATCAACATTATCATTTAACTAAACAAGTACACTAAACAAGTACACTGATTATAATTAAACTTCTCATTACAATTGTCATAATCATTATCAAACTATTATCAAAATCATGTTAAATTACTTACAGTCAGCACAGGTGTTACCAGTGTATTCAGGTGGGCAAGTGCAGGTGTAACTATTACTTCCCTGATTAACGCATGTCCCACCATTAACACATGGTCCACTTAAACAAGCATTCTTGTCTTTAAAAGAAATAACAACACACTTAAAAAATTAAAAAGAAATATTTTATGAATACAAATAAAATATTTACTCATCTTTGAAGTCATTCTCAGGTTGAAGCATATTAAATTATAATTTTTTTTTAAGTGTACAATTTTCTCATATTTTAGTGAAAGGGGTAACATACGTTGAAGCATATCAAATAATAATTTTTTAAAAAGAGTAATTTTCTCATATTTTATTTGGAAGGGGTAACATACCAAATTCACAGCTGGGACCATCATAATTTTCAGTACAATTACAGGTAAAGTGAGTGCAAAATTCAAGACATTGACCACCATTCTGGCAGCTCAGACTGTTACACGCCACCACATCTAATAAAAAATATATAAAGTTAATTACATTCGAACATCACATTAAAAAATGTAAATCAATATAGCTTGCAAGTGACAGCTCAATATTAAAGTTATATATATATATATATCTATATATGTATATATAGATATATATATTTTTTTTTTTTTTGTATATTTTGTTACCATCGATGTTGATGAGAGGCGGCCACACAATATTTATTTAATTTATAAGCCATTATATATTAGCACCTAGGGCTGAAACAAAGCATGAGCCACTTCACAACCTGTCAACAGTGCAAGCCGGGGTAACTAAGCATGGCCGGCCGAGAATGGTCAGCATGTGAATGAATGAATAAGTGAAAGAATGAATGAATGAATGAATGAATGAGTGAATGAATGAATGAATGAGTGAATAAATGAATGAATTAGTGAATGAATGAGTGAGTGAATGAATGAATGAGTGAAAGAATGAATGAATGAATAAGTGAATGAATGAATGAATGAGTGAATGAATGAATGAATGAATGAATGAATGAAAGAATGAATGAATGAAATGAATGGATGGATGAAGGAAACGAAGGAAGGAAGGCAAGGGAAGGAATGAATGAATGAATGAATGAATGAATGAATGAATCAATACATGAATAAATACCATACCATCTTGACAGAATTGTCCAGAGTGACATGAGTCACATTCACAGATGAACGAGCTGGTCGTTGGCACACATGTCCCACTGGCACAAGGATTATTATCACAGATATCTTAAAAGAGAAAATCATTATTGTACAAAGATACCTAATAAAATGTAGTATAGAGTTATTATAGAAATTTAGTGGTGAAGGCCTTGCTGTAAGTATTCACATATTTTTATAATCATTATTATAATTCTGAAAGCCAACAAACTTTTCAGACTATAGACTTTACCATACACACATATGGCACCATGCATGCATATGGATGGTTAAACCATAGACACAAATGGTTTTACAAGGACACACTTAGCCTTATCATACATGCATATGACTTATAAAATCTTGCTCATCTTGACTTACAATTTTGGCAGTTATCTCCAGAGTAGCCAGTGGCACAGGTACACATGTAATCGGAGCAGAAATTGGAGCAGGTTCCACCATTAATACATGGATTGCCATTACAAGCATTGATTTCTGAAAAAGAATCAAAATGTAAAATAAAATGTAAAATGAAAGCTGTAATCGCATTGATTTAATTTACGCATTGTAAAAATATTTTGGCTAAATTACACAAATCATTAGAAATGTTTGTAGTCTTCCAGATACTTACCTGAATGAATCAAATACTGCAAAAGTTTTTAGTGGAACTTAACTTTAAATAAAAATGGAATCATCCGTACCAGCAGGTTATGTATCTAATACATACTGTATGTACTGTGTATTACATAATTATTATGAGTATCCTTTTTGCCATTAGAAACTGAGCACATGGCCCTTTCCTGCGTACACACACAATTCTTAGACAGCTATTAATGCTCAAAGTTTCATAGAGTAGCATGGGTGTCACTTGAGAAGAACCTGTTCATTATTCACATCAGTTACAATGTAGCTTCCTACCATGGGAAGGCTAAAAAATAATTCTTAAAATTATTCTTACCTTCAGTGCAAAACTCTCCTCCCCAACAATCTGAGCAACTACAGGTAAAATCTTCAGTAATTGGACAACCATTCATACAGAGACCTCCATTTTGGCAAGGTGATGAGGCACAATTGTCAATGACTAGATATACGTACGATTAAAATAAAACAATTAGCCAAATAAAATTATACAAATTAAATATATTTTTTTTACTTGTGCAATATTTAAAAAATAATAATTACTAAAACACTGATAGCACTAACTAGCTCCAATTATTCAATACACAAGCTTTTGCCAGCACTCTATGCTGGCTCCATCAGATTTTTTGAGAACTTAGATAGGAGAGGCCAAGTTATGTGATATTCCGTGACAGATTATCATTCCAATTAATTATTTTTATTACTGACTAGTTTTGATTAATAGTAATTTTCTTACGTATGTCACAATTGCTTCCTGCCCAGCATTCTGAGCAAACGCACTGGTAATCGTCACACGTGTTTCCTTGCATGCAAGTCGCTCCATTCTGACACGGCATTGCTGCACACGCATTGATGTCTACAATCAAACAAGATCAAATTTTACTACTGTACACAATAATAACATAGACACAATAATAACATAGACACATAATTCAGCATTAGTCTTTAATTTCCAGCGTTTCCAAGGAAGGAAAACACTCTTAATAAATAATGAAACAGTCCACCCATTACCCAGAACAAAGCATATTTTAAACTTGAATGTGTACCTGTATATATCCTACAAAACACACTTTACAGATCCTTCTAGAAGGAGCTAGTATATATTTCTCAAGTATCTCAAAAGGCTATGGGGAAGCATGGGGAAGCTAGGAGACCTGTTTTACTCATCTTTAGGGGTCTTTTGTTTTGCAATATTGGTTTATTCAAATAATTTAATTCCATTCATTGTCTATATTTACACAGGGTGCTTCGTACAGTTATTTATAACACAATTAACAAATAATAAGCAAAGAAATCATAGTTAATGATCAATCAAAGTTATACCTAGCTGAGCTTTTTGTGTTAATTGTCCATATATGGGCATTATGATGCCATATCAAATCCAAATAAGGTCATGAAGATGTCATACCATGTCCATATATGGGTAAATCACATATATTTGTCACATAAAATGTTATAGTTAGGATAGAGCTTTAGTGCTATAGTTGCTTACCCAATTCACAGTTACTTCCAGATTTGCATACAGGGCAAGTGCAGGTGTAGGTACAGGTGTTGGATGTGGAATCCAGGGAACATGTACCACCACCCAAGCATGGATTCACTGGTCCGCAAGGATCTGAAACTGTAGAAGATTGGTAACAAAAATGGTGAATAAATAACAGTAATAGATAACAAAAAAAAACATTAGACAATAATAGAAACTATTAAAATAGAAAATAGCAATAAGTGTCGAATATGTGAACATTGAGTAAATATTAATGTAAATCGAGATATTTATATATTATTATTAATAATAATGTAACTTTATTTCAGATAAATGATTGAACATGGTAAAATAAAGCTGACAAAGAAACTGTTGTATGCCCATTTACAGTCATGATGCACCTGTGTGCCATACTTAGGCATGTCACTTGGTGTAGATTAATAACATTTCATAGACTGGACAGGCCTTAAAACTGCTCTGTAATTCAGTATATCATATTATAAAGGAATCATGTTCAAAAGTAGTTAAGTAAATAAACATTATTATTAAGGGCACTATGAAGTAGGCTAATAAAAAAGATCTGAGGAGTACGACCTCTATTGACTTACATGTTAGACACTGATTTCCACTGTAACATGTGGGACAGGTACATGAGTACCCCTGGCAGGAGTCACTCGGCATGCACTCACCGCCATTCAAGCACGGGTTACTCTGACACGGATTTATATCTGTAACAAGAAAAATCAGAATTCCCTTAAACCACAGCTGGGCAAAGTGCGGGCCGTGGGCCGCATGCGGTCCGACAGTGATTTTTTTTGCGGCCCATGAAAATGAATTAAAAACCCTGTGTGTGCAGTCCGTCAAGCACCATTGGCTAGAAAACACCTTACTTTTTACAGCCAGACAACTATTATATGTAAAAAGTAACATTAAAACTGAGAATGAAGAGGTATAAAAGCAGTGCTTTGAGATTTTTGGAAGCTCAATGGAAACATTAAAGTAAAAAAAAAATCAAAAATTGGCCATCTGACCGATTTTTATGCCCTGTCTTAAACCAACTGCTTAAATGGTGCATTACAAATGCAAGATTAATACTAATATTACACATACACAATTATTACTAAAACTATAAATTCATTAAGATAAAAACCAATATCAATGATAAAGTATTATATTACTTATATAAGTACTGGTATATCAAGTTAATATTATGATTGAAGTTATGCATCTTGTTTGCAGAAAACTGTCAGTGTAAGGTAAAAAATCGGGAAATATACTCTAAATTGGGACACACGCTGAACCCACGGTAGTCAGCCAACACGTTCTTACAGAGAACGCAATGCGACAAGGCACGCACAATAGATGGTTTTAATGATGACCTGGCCAGATTGCAACCAACAATCCACAGATAGCATTGCGTTCTCAAACACACAATGGGAGTGGAGATGGATTTGGTATCTGACAGTCGTACGATGCATTGTGTCCCTGGCTTACGTCAACTCCACAAAAAGAAAGTTTTCTTACTTGTCTGGCAGTTTGCTCCATCATAGCACTGTGGACATTGACATGTGTATGCTTGACAGTTGACAGGGTCTACATTACATACGCCACCATTCATACACAGACTTACAGCACAAACATCCGAACCTACAGTCAAATCATATCCAAAGTTCAAGGGTCAAGTTGCATATGATTAACATTTTTTATAATTTCATAATTTCAAATATATAATAACTAAATAATTTCAAATAATAACTTCATAATTTTAAATAAAGTCTTCTAAGTAATTCATTTAAATTTTTAAGTGATTTAATATTATATTGAATTGATCATTAGCACACGAACCTAAAAAGATCAAGCAAACCGTGCACTAATGTCAAATTTGTGCATGGTTGAGTGCATGGTTGGGGATAGAAAAAATAACATTAAGATTTAGAGTGATGGACTCAGGACTGACTTATAAAATGTAATACAATACAATGGGAAAACAATTAATTATCAATTATATAGAGAATAATGACTATAATGAACAAATTATGAAAGAGCAGACTCACTAATTTCACAGAAGGTTCCAGAGAAGCAGTTGACTGTACATTGACAAACAAAGTAGTTACAGTCCCCAATAGCAGGATAGCATTGGCCGCCATTCTGACAAGGATTACTCATGCATGAGTTGGTATCTAGGCAACAATAAAAAAAAAAACAGGTAACTAGGCAACAACACAAACAACAGAATGAAGAAACTTTTAACCAATCCCTGGAGGAAATCATTGGTTTTTGCTCAGATTGGAAAGCGATGTTCTCAAACAAATGTATGACAATAACATACTACGGTAGATCCCCTCCTTTGGGACACCATATTATGGAGACACCCCTATTAAGGGGACACTTTTTTCGGTCCTAAAGGTGTCCTCCTAATAGGGGTTCTACTGTATAACAATTCTGGTCGGTACCACACAATTCCCTAACCATTTTGATTTGTTCGGAAGTCGTATGTTAGTAGCTCAAAAGAGAAACTGAAAAGGGCTCCCTAGAAAATTCATGCAGTCTCATACCTATCTCGCAGGTATTTCCATCATAGCAATCTCGACATTGACAAGAGAAGTCACCACATCCATTGCCGCTCTCAAAACAGGTTCCACCATTTTGACAAGGGTCAGGGCTGCAACCTTGTGTAGCTGAAAATATAAATTTAATAAAATAATATTGGCACACGATGCTCTATTAAATCATGAGTGTAAAGCTGTTGTGGGAACTATAGGATTAGGAAACAAGGGCTTGGTATTGGTAGGTAAGCATCATAACTAACAAGTAATGTATTCATAATTGTAGGTAAACTTTTAAAAACATTTCATTATTTATTTATTTCAACCACATTTTATATGGGTAGCCCTTTTAGCATCTATATTCAAATATATGAAATGATGCTGTTAACATCAAAAGGTTCTAAAACAAATTCATTTAAAAAAAAACCTAAAAATAGATATCACACAGATATGTATTAAAATGTGATGGAAGCAGAGGGGAAAATTCAAGAACAGTGGAGTTGAGATGTAACTTGGTGGTTAAGATGCTTGCCTTCAAATCCCAGAGTCCTGGGTTCAAATCCTGTGACTGACCAAGATTTGTTCTCACGACTAAAACCATCTCCACTCCCAAAGCCTTGTAATGACACTTTGCTGATAAAGCTTCATATTATTTCATTCATTTAAGATGATCCTTGAATATCAAATCAACTAGTATATGCTGAGTGGGTCACCCACTATAAAAAAGAAACCCAGCAATTTACCTATTTCACATCTGTCTCCCATGAAACAGGCGCTGCATGCACATGTATATGCAGAGCAGCTATCACCTGCAGATGAGCAAACTCCTCCATTTGTACAAGGATTGGATGAACATGGATCAGTAACTAAAAAAAAAACATACTTGGTTTAATTTTTGGTTTCAAATAATTTTAAATATATAACTAAATTTCAAATATATAACTTCATAATTCTTAAAATAACTTCATAATTTCAAATATATAACTAAATAATTTTAAATATATAACTTTATAATTTTAAATAAATAGTCTTCTAAATAATTCATTAAAATTTTTGAATGATTTAATATTATATTGAATTGGTCTTTTTCACATGAACCTAAAAAAAAAATAAATAAAGCTGTGCACTAATGGGGATAGGAAATTAACATTGGGAGTTAGTTCAGAAAGAAACCATTTTTGTATTCAGATGATATTTTTTCAAAGATTACATCATATAAGCCTAATTATTTGGTAATGACAAACAAAATAGTATGGATAGAGAATGGTTGAAAATTTCATTTTTAAATTAACATATTAAGTAACTATTAATTAGTTTGGAGTAGTGTCTCATTAAAGTAAACTGCTTGGAGCTGAAGACTTGTCCACTGGTTAATCTTCTGAAAGGAATTACTCTACTAAACATTTAAAAACATGTTTCATTATTGATTAGAGTAGCATAAAGTAAAAGTTAGTTAGAACTTGTGAACTCTTGAAGTGCATATAAAACAGTTGTTTTTGGTTTGATATAAAAAACTTACATATTTCACACAGCGACCCTGTGTAGCATGCAGGACACGAACAAGTAAAGGCAGAACAGTCACTAACATCTGAACATGTACCACCATTTAAACAAGGGGAACTTGAACAAGGTTGCATCACTATTTAACAACAAATAAAAAATAACATACAAATAAACATAATTTACATTAAAATAAACATTCATTTTCATCATTCTATTGTATTATTCAACATTATAATATTTCTCTAGAAATTGTAGCACATTTCCATAGCATTCATAAACCTTTTTCACATTATTACTTATAACATTAATTTTATAATTGGCTTATTCCTTAAATCTTTTAATAGTATTTATATATAAGTGGCCATATATTGCTTATTTAACCTTTCCTGAGTTCGGGAAAAATACTTAAAAAATTCAAAATGTCGAGATGTAACGATAATTAGAGAAACAAAACATGATGTGATGAGACGGGAAAATCAGGTGAAAACGAGGCTGATCACTTTTTTCAGTAGCTTGGTAGCATTTTCTAACCAACACATTAATATTCAAGACCAGTAATTTTTGGCGAGCAGCTGATCGAAAAATCGTCCCGACGATCGAGCAACTAGCCTAGACAATATACGTACATCCAGTAGTGTGAAGTCGTGAGTTTTTGTGATCGTTTACGTACGCAGTTACAGAGAGACGGTTTTGTCAACGTCAATTCAATCATGGAGGAATAATTCAATTGAATTAATAAACGTATATCAGTCCGATGACTTGTTTGTTTATAATTAGGCCTAGCCTACGCCTAGGATTCGAAGCACAGTCAGTGTCTACCCTAAGTAGCGCACTCCTGACCGGGACACTGCTCCAGTCCCGCAGCAGGTGAGTTCAACTGGTATTCAAAAAGTTATGA